CTAAAGCACTTGACTGCTAACCAGAAGGCTGGCGGTCCAACTCATCAGACACTCCTCGGAAGGAAGATGGGGTAATCTACTTCCGTAGTGATACTGCCTCGGAAACCCAAGGAGGGGCCACTATGAGTCGGGGCCGACTCAACAGCACATAACAACAACAAATACACACACACACACACACACACATCTGAAAACCCACTGCCATTGAGTCTATTCCAACTCACAGTGACCTTATATATAGGACAGAGTAGAACTGTGCCATAGGGTTTCCAAGCTAAATCTTTCTGGAAGCAGAGTGCTTCATCTTTCTCCTGCAGAGTAGCTGGGGTGTGTGTGTTTGGAACAAGACACTACAGAATTCAAATTCTGCCTCTACCACTTATCAGTTATATCACTTTGAAAATCACCTCATTTGTAAAACTGAACTAGTAACAGCTATCTTGCAGCGTTATGGTAAGTTTTGAAGACAAAGTATGTGAAATTACTATTTCAACAGTACAGATACATAGAGGGAACTTGTAAGTAGTAGCTATTGTTAATTCATGCCTAACACAGTCCTGCATGTTTCCACATATGTTAAGCCATATTTCTTTGATCCATAAAGATAGTTCAGAACTTGAGAGACTTAGAGTAACTTGCCCAGGTGACTGAGTAGGATTCTGAGCCCAGATATGTCAGGCTCCTCGGAAGGAAGATTGGGCAATCTACCTCTGTAGTGATACTGCCTGGGAAACTCAAGGAGGGGTCACTATGAGTCAGGTCTTACTTGATGGCACATAACCACAACAACATACCAAACTGAAACAAATGAATGAACAGATGGATAGATAAGTAGGTAGGTAGACACGTACATACATACATACATACGTACATACATACACACATAGCGTGTGTGGAAAAGGTTGCAAAGTGCCCATGAAAGGGACAAGTAAACCCCTGCCTGCTCTTTCAGTGAGTTGGAAGAGCAAGTTAAGCTTCTTTTGCAGGTAAACAGGGCCAGATGAATTTGCTAGAATCTCTCAGCCTGAGATTCTGGTGGTGACAAGAAACCTCTTATGCCCCCATTCCTTTTTACGAACACTTTCAAAAGAATCTTGGGATATTTTTGACTCCCTGGCTGACAGTTCCACTCCTATGTTAACTGCCAAAGCTGTCACTCATGCTACAAATGCACGTCTTATCTGCCCCTGATAGGATCCAAAGGAAATAAAATAATTCCTCTCCCCAGAAGGGCCTCTCACTCCAGGAAGTGTCAGTCATTGGGCTTCACGCCACAGCTTCACTGGGGCTTGGGTGGCTGGCATTCCTCACTGATAATCGCTAGTGACCTGATAAACTTGAATGTAAAAGCAAACTCCTAGGGAAGGGTGGGGATGGGAAAAGACACAGGGAGAGGAAACATCCCATCTCATTCCATTTCATATCTTAGAAGATAAAGATAAAAATGATAATGTTATTTTAAAGTATCTTCTCATTTCCTTAAACATCTATGTTCCAGGTATTTTCAACCAAAGACAGAATTTCTTCAGTAACAACTATACAGGTGTATTGAGCAGATGTTTGAGCTAATCTTATTACCTGGAAATTAACAAAAGTGACCTCCCACATGCTTGAGGTATCATCCATGTCGTCAGGTAACAAGAGGGCATCATACCGCTGCAGGCTGCTGACATGCTGGCAGTGGTAGGAATAACTTGATGGAGCATATATGCCAGTTGCATTAAAAGTTGCTTGGACTGAGTTATTGAAGATAATCACGACTCGGTGTAAACTAAACCAGCTCTGGATAGACAACTTGTTGTAAGCAGTAAGGATGAATCTGAAAATGATAATAAAATAGTATTATTCCCAAAGCACTGTTTGCTGGCCCAGGACTTTGTCTATGAACAGTACAATAGTGCCCTCTTTTGCCAAGTAGTATAACTGGCCTGGGGACAGACTCCCTTTTCTAGTTCCAAATCAGAGCCTCCTGGTGGGTGGGAATGAAAGCAAATGACAGGGCATGCTTCAAAAGTGAGCAACACAAATTCTGACAAAAGAGAAAAAAAGGTTATTGCCCCCCTTTTTTTCAGAATTAACACTTAATTATGTTTTTATTATTGCAAAAAAATTTTTTGAAAAAAAATTTGTATCCGGTAAATCAGTTGCCTTTGACTTCCCTTCCTTTATCTCTCCTCTCAGGGATAACAGCATTTATGGGGGGAAAAGGAACAAAAAGGGCCTTGCTAATCTGATAGTGCCTCCTTCATTACTAGCAGCTTTTCCAAAATGACAGAATTTTTTTAGTCAGACTAAGGAAAAGAGAGGAGTGCTTACGTGATGCAAATGGTTAAGCAGTTGGCTAATAACCAAAAGGTAGGGAGTCTGAACCCATTCAATTGTTCTTGTTGTAGTTAGGTGCCATCGAGTCATCTCTGACTCATAGCGACCCTATGTACAACATAACAAAACACTGCCTGGTCCTGTGCCCATCTCATGATCCTTGCTATATCTAAGCCCATCATTGTAGCCACTGTGTCAATCCATCTTGTGGAGGGCTTTACCCTTTTTTGTTGACCCTCCTCCTTACCAAGCATGACATCCTTCTCCAGGGAATGGTCTCTTCTGACAACATAACCAAAGTAGATGAGATGAAGTCTGGCCATTCTCACTTCTGAGGAGCATTTCGGCTGCACTTCCTCCAGGACAGATGTGTTAGTTCTTTCAACAGTCCATGGTACTTTCAGCATTCTTTGCCAAAACCACAACTCAAAAGCATCAATTCTTGTTTGGTCTTCCTCATTCATTGTCCACCTCTCACATGCATATGAGGTGATAGAAAACATCATGGCTTGGGTGGTGGTTGTTGTGGTGGTGGTTGTGTTTTGCCATTGAGTCAGATCCAACTCATAGCAACTCCTCCTTGGGTTTCCGAGGCAGTATCACTATGGATCCACACAATCAAATGCCTTTGCATAGTCAATAAAACACAAGTAAACATCTTTCTGGTATTCTTTGCCTTGAGCCAAGATCCATCT